CATGCACCTGGAATCTGTTAATGACAAGTCCAAATGATCTTTGTACAAAATTTAACCCAAATCTGTACAATTAATTATCTCTGTAAAATGAGCAGGGCACCAGTCTGTCATTTTGAATCAAATCAAATCAAATCACTATGACATTTTGACAGCAATCAAACTTGTGAAATAACATTTTAGTACATTATGTTACATTTTGTCAAAATGTTGCAACGATGGCCTACGTGCTGCCAGTAGTGTCAGTTGAATGAACTAGATGTTTTCTGTAACTCAATGGACACTTTATATCTGATCTTGGTGTTATAAATAAATTGTTGCAATGAAAATCCTTTGTTTTCTTGAATTCGTAGTGAAATAGAACCACACTTTATCACCACTCTGATTGGTCGAGTGCTGTTGGCCATGTGCTAATTATATTTATATTTATACATGTACAAGACACTTCGGGATGGGCATATTTCACAGTCAGTGATATTAACGAAAATATTTGTTCACAATTCTATAGACCTTTCATAACTGGCTTCACAATTCCCAACACCTATTAGATATAGAGTCACAGTATGTGGCTCATTTTTAACCAGAACAATTGTAATGTGAATTTTGTTCATTAATGGCGAACGACGACTATTTTCAGGTAATATCAATACAATCAGGCAGCATATGATTCCATATGCAGAAATTTAGAACAACAAATGTACACACATTACATCGAAATGAACACTAAATATAGCTATCCAGGAAATCTTTTGAATCATCGATCACCATGAGTGACACAATCGGTGTTTTATTTGCTTTTATTCTTAAAATTATTAAAAACGCTCAAGTGAATGTTGTTGACTTCATGAGTGTGTATCTTTACGTACAGTGACGTGAACATTGCTACAAACAAAGATACACTGAACAGGAAGTTTATTCTGGACTAGTATCAGTGTCAAATTTTGGAGAGTTGAGGACTACTAGTATTTATACAGGAGACATTTCAATAAGGAATTGTTAAAATATTTGATTGGCATATCAAAATTCTTCTATTGGAACAGGACATGTTGCTATGTTTCTAACACAAAATTAAAGAAACCATCTGATCCACCCTTGCGTTTCTGAGCGAAAAAAAGTTGAGACCAAAAGCAACTGATTTTCTCCCAATAATTTTTATATAATATCATCCATTCAGTTCAGGAGTTATTTGTTTATTACAGATGTCAGGAGAAGCAAAATTTGGGATGTAAATCACTCTGGAAACAGGAAATAGGCAGAAATAGCCAAGAGGCTGAGGACTGCATTCCAAAACATATTTTATATATAGGGTACTAGTATATAACTATATATTATCAAATGTAATTTATCAATAATCATTTTTGTATCTAGTATGGCATTTTGCAGTTATTTCCCATAAATTGCAAAAAATGATAAAAACAAAAAAACAATAGCTTTACAAAGTTAAGGTATCTCTGATATTAAACACAAAATAACGATATTTGATGAAATGTGCTAAAATGATCAATGAAAAAGAAGAAATATCTCACCTGGTGTACGGGTATCCACTTCATCAATATCTCTGTATTTCTTTGTGGGTTTTTCAAGACCTTCAAATAAGGCGAGGTACTTGATACTGCTGGATTTCAAACCTGATACACAGAAAAACAACACATTTCATTCAATGTTTGAGATTCTCTCGGCCTGCCGGCCACATATTGTAAACACAATGCCTGCTGAAAGACTCCATGGATAGCAAAAATGAATGGAGGGGGGTGGGGGTGACATCAAATGTCAATGTGTATGGGTGACTAGACATGTAGTATTATTGGAATACATGTGTGTATTATGAAGATCAGGAGAAGATATTCTTCACTGCCATGTTTGTTCTGTTGTGAGTGATTTGACCTCCTCATTGTGACAGTTGCTATGTTCACATGGCAGTATTCTATCGGAGCCGAACTATTGCTCCTCCCATCAATTAACAGGAGATTTTCTCCAATGCATTTACACAGTTGGGGGGTGTACTAGAGCCGATCTATAGCAGTATTTCTTTACTCTATAGATATTAGAGCGCGTACCTCTTCGTCCAGAAATTATGTGAAATTACAAATGATGTTATCTCCGCCATAATTGAAATGAGAGGTTACATGAAGAAGACGATTGAGGGCGTGATTTGGCTTTGATAGTTGGGCCCATATACGTGGTCGGAGCCATGTTGGGCTTCAACCCTATTGGAGTTCAACATCAAGGGTTTATTGGAGCCAAACTTGGCTTGAGCCGAACCTGTATACACAGCCATTTTTGCTGACTCAAGCCATTGGGCTCTTATAAAATGCTGTCGTGTAAATCGTAGCAAGTGGCTCAGGGAAGGAATTGATAAATTATTACCATTAATGTTAACTTACTCAAATCTAGTGAAGTATTTGTTCTATTAGTAGCGCATGCGATGTAAATGACATACTATGGTAAAAATGAGCTATATTTTATTAATATGATAAATGCAATTTTGGGTTAATATGCATTTCTATTATAGATGCATTACTAATAGAGCAAATATGTCTACATTGTACCAAAGTTTACTGTATTTAAAGAAACATATTGTAACCAGCATATGCACATTCTATCGCTCAGCTCCACTATTTTTAACAATGCACATATTAAACAGTTCATTCCATACAATATGCCCCTAAGGCCCTAAGTAAATGAAGACAATGTGTCATAGTCACAGCTAGTAAATTATCAGCACTGAATGGTGGTGACGTATGCACAGTCTGACAACAATGTTCCTTTAACCCTAATCTGGTCATGTCACTGTAATCAAAATGAAAGTGCATGAGGCTGGCATGATAAGGGCTTACTCTGAATACCGGTAACAATGATAGTCACAACTTGTTTGAGTTTAAGTGCTTTAGTTGATCAGAATTTTGTTTAATTTTATGTACCATAATAAAAAGTAAAGATGTTTGTGTACAAAAATAGATTACAAAACAGATGACAGTTCCATTGTGCAAGTGTTTGGCACATGTATCTTTACCACTGTCTGAAAATTAGTATGGTAGAGTTTGGGGTTAACGAACTAGCAAGGAGGGACTGCATTTACTGGGTATATTTCATGACCACAAGTATCTAGACATTCTAGACTTAATGGTCTCTAGGTAGAACACTGCCAATTTTGAATGTAACTGGTAACAAGATGACACATGCAGTATTTTGATTTGGGTTTAAAAAAAAACAAGCAGCCTATCGACTGAGATAGCTCCGCTGTTAGCAATGCACATTTCAATTAAAGAACTGAAGACATCATTAGAAAATGAACAATATGTATAGTATCAAAGCAATCGGACTTACAGTTTTTAACAAGAAGTCGAAAATATCACTTTCTACCAAAAATGACAAAAATACTCACTAAAATTAGAGAATTGAAGATATCATCATGAAATGAACAAATCTGAGAAAGGTCTACATGTAGTATCTATATATGCAATATCAAAGCAATTGAACTATTGGTTTTTAACAAGAAGTCGAAAATATCACTTTTTACCAAACATTACAAAAATATTCACCAAAATTAGAGAATTGAAGATATCATCACAAAATGAACAAATCTGAGAGAGGTCCATATGTAGTACCTATATATGTACCGGTAATATCAAAGTAATCGGACTTGCGGTTTTTAACAAGAAGTCGAAAATATCACTTTTTACCAAAAATGAAAAAAATATTCACCAAAATTAGAAAATTGAAGAAATCATCACGAAATGAACAAATCTGAAAGAGGTCTACCCAAGGTACATATACACCAAGTATCAAAGCATTCAGGCTTGTAGTTTTCAAGAAGAAGTCGAAAAAGTAAAACATTGACATGGACGACGACGACGACGGACAATCACTCATATGATAAGCTCCGCTCGACAAAGTCGACAGCGGAGCTAAAAAATGATGGCGGTTGAAGCAAAGATATGCAGTGAATTCAATACATAATACTACATTATAGTAAGTACGGGTAGTATGCCTTTCAAAGTGATATAACACACCACTGATGTACATAGATTTGCAGTGACACAACTACCTGGGTAATTGCACTACCATAATAGACCATTCAATTTTTCATCAGACGTTCGGTGCGTGTCTTTCATGCGAGATCATGCAGTCGAACTGATGGGTCATTGATGCAACAGAAAATCATACAATCATTGACATAAGGTAATCTTGAAGACATCTTACTATGGTTGTGGAATTTAGTAAAACGAAATTCACATTTTCTAAACAAGCAGCCTCTCGGCTGAGATAGCTCCGCTGTTAGCAATGCACATTTCAATTAAAGAACAGAAGATATCATTAGAAAATGAACAATATGCATAGTATCAATGCAATGGGACTTGGTGTTTTCAACAAGAATTCAAAAATATAATTTTTCACCATAAATGATTGTGGTTTTTAACAAGTGAAAATATCACTTTTTACCAAAAATGACAAAAATATTCATTAAAATTAGAAAACTAAAGATATCATTACAAAATGAACAAATCTGAGAGAGATCCACATGTAGTACCTATATATGTAATATCAAAACAATTGG